CAGGAATTTCCCCTGTCTGACTCTGAGAAGATTTGTATATTGTTGTTCCCACTGGGAGATCTTCTGGGTGGGTGAACTCTGTCCTCCAGGTCAGGTCAGGATGCTCCCGAGCCACAGCATCTGTGCCCTGGCAGTCCTGGATGAGTCTTTTTAAGAGGAGCAATAGAAGGATTTCAAGTTTTATATTTAAAGGAAATGTGGGAGGTTCCTTTGTAAAGTCGGAAGGGGTGAGGTGAGATGCTGTGATGATAGAAGACAGGTTTTCTTAGATCACGAAGGCATCACAAGCATCCATTAAGCATTCTGTAGGCAGCAGAGATGCTGTTTTGTCAGCAGAGATTTATAGCCCTAGTCCCATCCATCTCTGAGAGGGGGTCTGTGGCGTGGGAGCATCCCGGGAAGACATGTAGGTTTTGCGGGATTCCCTGCAGAGCAGATCCTATTGTCTGGGGACCTGATGCAGTGTGCTCGGTCGGAGGCTGCCATCTAGTGCACTGAATCACAGCGCCAGGATCTGTGTGCTGGACTTTGAGAGATTTCCGTCCCCTTTGCCCAAACTTGGTGCCTTCCCTCCCTCCCTCTCGCACTCCCTTTGGTGCTGGCAAGAGACGCTCATCCTCTAGGTTCACTCCTAAGCCCTCCTCTGCTCCCCAGGGCGCCCCGGAGAGTGTGATCGAGCGCTGCACCCACGTCCGTGTGGGCACCACCAAGGTCCCGCTGACCGCCCCGGTGCGGGAGAAGATCCTGGGCAGGATCCGGGACTGGGGCATGGGCATCGACACGCTGCGCTGCCTGGCCCTGGCCACGCACGACTCGCCTGTCCGCAGGGAGACCATGCAGCTGCACGACTCTGCTGCCTTCGTCCACTACGAGGTACGGCACCGGGGGCTTTCTCCAGGAGATTTTCCCCTTATTCCCAAAGTTTTCCTGCCCACTTCCAGCTGCCCCAGCAGTATTTTCTGTGTGGCTTCTCTGGGCAGCAGGCAGTGCAATGGTTCAGCTCTGCCAGCTGGTTCAGAGCTGTATTGCAGTGGGGTTGGTCCCAAAGCCAACAGTCCCATGCCAGTGGGAATCCGTCCCATGGGGTGACTGCTGAGAGGGGCTTGGGGACCACCAAGAGAGACAGGGAGGAAGGGGGTGAAGCAAAACAGTGTGAGGAGCGGCAGCATGGCTGGGATTGTCCCACTGCATTGGGCTATAGGGTGCATCCATGGGACTGTTGGTAGGAAACCTCATGAAAGTTTTCTCCTGGGGAAATCCCCAGGCCTGGGGTGGTTTCACAGTGGAGAGGGAAGCGGCTGCATCCTGAGGGATTAATGTGGATCTGGGGCTGTTTCCCCCCACCTAGAACAACCTGACCTTTGTGGGCTGCGTGGGGATGCTGGACCCTCCCCGCAAGGAGGTCACCTCCTCCATCGAGATGTGCCGCAAGGCCGGCATCCGCGTCATCATGATCACTGGTGACAACAAGGGCACGGCGGTGGCCATCTGCCGCAGGATCAGCATCTTCTCAGAGACTGAGGACGTGGCTGGCAAAGCCTACACGGGCCGGGAGTTTGATGAGCTGGCCCCCG